GTATATATTCCCAATGATTTGCTGTTTAGAGAGAGAGGGAAGAAGGGTAAATAGCTGCATTTATGAAGGGAAAGTAATCAGAGGGGCCTTCCCAAATCTGGGGAGCCCCCGGAACCTCCCCTCCTGTCATGGCCATATCCTTGGGGCTTTGATAGGTAAAGTTGATAAAGTTCTAACACTTCCAGGTAATTCTAGACCTTGCTGCTAAGCACTGCCCCTACACATTCTTATTGCTCCATCACTACGATGGGCAGCCTTACTGGCTAGTAGGGATGTGCAGGAGGTAGGAAGGGACGGTCAAGCCTTGGCACTCTTGGGAAATACCAAAGCTTTGCCTGTTGCCTGGGATTCAGCCTTAACTGGAAGGTTTGGAAGCCTGATGCAGGTGCGTGCATCTGTAATTCATACCTGCAGTAGTTTGCCCCTTTTGCTCTGTGACAGTTTCTTTAGGGTTCTCTACTTTCCTTTGAGATATCCCATTTCCTTTGTCCCCCTGTCCCCCCCTCCCCACAAGGCATTGCTCAGCAGACTTGTGAAGAATCTTAAGTTTGATCGATCTTTGGTAGGAAAAGTCATACCATGAACAGATTTTTTTTTCTAGAACAAAAAGATTGTTCATTTGATAAAACTCACACATATTGTGACAAACAACCAGTGAGACATCAGCAATCATTTTGTAACCTGCCCTGAAGAAAATTACATCTGGAATCTGATTTGGTGCTGTGGGCAACCAGCATCATCTTTTACTTAAAGCATAGGTGGAAGTTCAGCAGCTCCATCTTCTTCTAGGCCTGCAGGGATAAATAGGTAACATACTGTAGTACCCCCAAACCTGCAGCATTAGTCTGATACCATTCTCGTACTATTGCTGTGTGTGAAAACAATAACATGTGGAAGCCTTTAGTTCAGATAAGGGTTAGTGGTGCTTGTACAGCGTAATGATGTAATTGCGCTGTTCCCACAACTAGGTTACTTCCTCTAGGAACTGGCTGTCTCTCTTCTGTTTCTGGCTGAGATGCTGGAATTTGTCTTATCCCAAAAAATTGCTGTACGACAGGCACACTTTAATTCTCTCGTACTCATTAGTGTATCCCAAAAACGATAATGTAATACTTTACAGCTTACCAGTACTTAGATGTGGTGGTTATTTTCATTTTATTTTTTCAGATGAAGAACATTTTTAGCTAGTATAGAAATACCTGTTGATCTTGCCACAAATGCAGTATGCTTGCCACTTCCAGTAAACCGAAAAGTCAGCATAAACAATGTTATCTCTCCTTTGTAAACTACTAGTCCAGTCAATCCACTATGTAATGGAAATGAACAAAGGCAGACGTGTTTAAAGTCCAGCCTATTTGACAACTGTGGCTGCTGCTATAGATACCATGGAGATGTGCGTGTAGAGACAAATGGACTAGAGTGTGTTATTTGCAGCATTACCAGGTAAAAATAAAGGGAGAAAGCCAGAAGAATAAAAACTAATGCAGTCACTACATCTAAGGACTGGTAAGCTGCAATATAAAACATTTTGGGGGTTTAGATACACGGTAATTCAGTACACAGGCTGATTTGACCATCTTACACTTTTCCATCTCAACTGTCATGCCCCTTATGGTACCACATGTCATCATCCATAGTGATGGTCATATTTGATAGATGGATGTGTCCTGAGGCTTGGAACAGTTGCTGTAAGTGGATGTATCACTTGTAAGGCCCGGTGCAGACCTGAGTGATCCAGGATCGCGCGGTCCTGCACAATGCTGACAGTGATTGCCGCGCGGCCCCATTGATTTCAATGAGGTGACATCTGCGCAGCAATCGCATAAAAAAGGTACATGTACCTTTTTTGCGATACACGATACGCGGCTGTTTTAGTGTTCGGATCGTGTTTGGATGCACGGGCTGAATCGCAGTGGGAAACCGTGGGATCCGTCTGGTTTGACTGGGGTTCCATTAGAAAATAATGGCACCCACCGCGCGACCGTCTGTGCTGGGCGACTCCATAACGTGCACGATTGCCGTGCGGTCAGTAGTCGCCTAGGTGTGCACCGGCCGTTAATGCTAAAGGTGCATGTAGAACTGTTTTGGTACCCATTCGCTCTCCAAATGGATATCTGTTGACCGTACACAGTCTTATTATCCAGAGAAAAGTGACCTTTCTTTCCAGATAATCACTTGTGTTTGACCATTTTTAACAACGGTACAAAATTATATAAGCTTCAGTCTATAACACCGGGTGAAATGTGTGAGACCCAGATGAAAATTGTACCAAGGGCACGTGCATTTTTTTTCCAGCCGGTTTAAAAAAAAATGAACATCTGTATCCCATTTAATAAGGAGTAACATAGACATTTCTATAATAAACTGTTAAAAGGCTTCATTACTTGCCTGTTCACTGGGGATTATCATTAAATCACAGCTCGAATGATACAGGGAACCGCTTGGTAATTTGAGTGGAGTTATATTGATAAACTTAAAAGGTCAGAGTATAGGATGCAGTTGCCGTTCAAAGTTTGTTCGGGATAAAAATTCCCTTTAAAGCAGTTTATTTTATTTAAAGATTTTGGGAAAAATTAGCTCAGATCTCCATTTAAGAAAATAAAATAAAATACTCTTCTTTGATTTAAGATTGCTGACCCCCATCTCCTTCACTCTGATTGATCTATGCCCTTTACAAGATGGATTTTAAAATAACTCTCTGATAAGGTCCTCTTCTTTGGAATCAATTAATGAAACACCGAGGTTTTCTTGATTAATACCATATACTGTACCTTTTCATAACATGACTTCATATTTTTTGGCACCGGCTTGCACAATTCCTCAGTTAAGGCTGGCAAATTATATTTAATGGCAATAATACAGTTATGCAGGTTTTTTTTTTTTTTAATGCAGAAATACTTCACGTATAACTAATTTATTGTTTTAAAGAAATAAAAGCTTGACATTGTAATAAGACTGACTGATTGCAGACTGTAACATGGTCCCGTATGTAGCAATTGATTTATATATTCTGGATAAATCTCAAGAAAATAACAGCAAAAAAAAATGAACTTTGTGTTCTGTTTAATGTAAAGCGCACCTACGAATGTGCTTTGTGCCAGTTCACGATCATATCTGGGTTTTAAGTTCTGGAGACGCTATCCATTTATGAAAGCCGTGTTTAACCTGTTCACATTAAAGCTAAACATCGGGTTGACGTTATATTAAATCAACAAATGAAAGTGTATATTTAAATTGCATGTGGGGTGAGAAGCATTGTATGCATATGGTTTACACAGTGGCAGTTTGTTTAAAGTCTGCCCCAAATCTAACATAACAGAGTCATGTTTTAAATTTCACGGTGTCACAGTGATCTATGAGTGGGTTGTAATTAGCTTTACCATTTCAACGTCTCTGGTTGCTTACGAAAAAGAAAAAAGAATTTGAATGTTTGGGTTTGAAGTGTAGCACAGTGTTGTACCATGCCATAGATAGCAGTAAAGTGAAAACATAGGCAGTGTCTTCTTGTTGACTAACTCTGATATTCTAATCCAGGGTGTCATGAATATGAACAGAACTCAAGTGTTCTCAAAAGCTTGCACTAAAAAGTATTACATTGGCAAACTAAAAGGTAATGTCTGTCAGGTCTATACCCAAAAGGGTGAAGGGTTTGAGAAGGCAGGAGAAGTGAACAATCTAGGACAACATAGCTGTTTTGGAAAAGTTTTCCAATTCAACTCACTTTCCAGTTCAGCTATGTTGTCCTAGATTGATCACTTCTCAGGCCTTCTCCATACACTTCACACTTTTGTGAATAGACCTGTAAATCTTCACTTGACTAGAATTATAAGGATTGGTTTACTAAAGGAGTAGAGCATGTTCACCTACAGCATTTTCACTTTGAAAGGGAATCTTCACTTGCCTTAGTGAATGTGGTGAAAATTCACCGTGCAAAAAAAAAAAAGGAGGTTGACTAATGTGCAAGTAAATTTAATAACACAGGATTTGCTTGCACGTGATTGGATGATAGTCAGCAGAGCTTCATCCAATTTACTAAGCTAAGTGAAAATTCACTCTGCAAAGTGAGCATGCTCCCTTAGTATATCAGTCACATACAGGGTTATTCACAAAAGGGTGAAAAGTTTGGAGAAGGCAGGAGAAGTGAACAATCTAGGACAACATAGCTGAACCAGAATGTGAGCTGAATTGCATAACTTTTCCAAATCAGCTATTTTGGCCTAGATTGTTCCCTTCTCCAAACTCTTCACCCTTTTGTGAATAGCCCTAAAAGTGTACATGAGGGCTAAGTAAAGAAAAACAACATATGTATTACATCTCTACAATACATGCACATTTCCACATGTTTTATCCATTTAAGACCCTGCAATTAATTAATGATATGCCAAAAAACACTCAACTCCTGGTTTCCTGTTGTACACCGACAAACCACAGGATTGTGGGGGGGCTGATAATACAAGACATGGTGTCAACTATAAGATCCCTCCCCACTCTCCAGATCTCTGTAACATAGCGAGTAATTGTTCTGTAGACCAAGATAAGAACCGAGAGGGCCAATTAGGCTCCTTGAGATATCAAAAGAAAAAACCCCCATACTTGAATCCCACATCACGTGACAACCATTGCAAATAATACAATTAGAATAGGCAATACTCAGAATGATGACATTTTTGTTCTTGCAGTGTATTTATTGAATAATTTAGATTTGTAAGCTGTCAGGAGCGGGACCCTCCTAAACCTCTTGTATTGATCTGTATTGTAACTCTCTGTCTGCCTTTATTTTTTTTAAAGAGTTTTGTAAACTGTTGACACTGTAAAAAAAAACCTGTGTAATAATAATAATATTTAGTAATGTTATAATATTTATATAATAATATATTTTCTGGAATTATAAGAAGGGGTGTTGTACGCAAACATGGAGTAAACTGATTAAAACAATTGCCACATAACAGAACAATTTGCAGATATTAAAGAATAAACAATTATTATTTTTTTGTTTACAGCTGAACCTGGTATCCAGTGCCACCCTATCGAAGACTGCATCAGAACCATCCCCTCAAAGTTTACCTCATACTCCCACCACCCCAACCACACCACTCACTCCTCTAACCCAGGGACCTTCTGTTATTACAACCACCAGCATCCACAATGTGGGACCCATGCGGAGGCGGTACTCTGACAAATACAACATTCCCATCTCTTCTGGTAAGTAGGGTTGGACAGATTATTTAGAAAACACTAGGGAGTCATGCAGTAAGAGCCCACTGACAAAACAGAAGAGGCTTAAAAAAAATTAGGTTGCAGTAGGAATTAATGCTCAAACTGGATAGCTGGAATTTTCTCAGGTGTACTGCAGACAACCAAAGTCTATACATTGCACACACAGTACAGTATGTTCTTCTAGTCTTGGAGTAGTGGCCTGAGTTGCCTAACTTTCATAATTATTAAACTTCCTCTTTGGTATTTTCTTCCCTCTTTGATTGCAGACATTGCACAGAACCAAGAGTTTTACAAAAATGCAGAAGTCAGGCCACCTTTCACATACGCATCGTTAATTAGGCAGGTAAGTGTGCACATTTCATTTGCTTGTTGGTTTTACAAAGTCTGTAAAGAAGAATTCCACCAAGAGGAAATTATATTACTTTGGGATGCAGAGAGGGGCCGGGAACATGTACTCACCAAATGGATCAACTTGCATTCTTCCTTACACTAGGCCTGGTTATAGGTACAGCTGCAACCCCTGTTCTTCCTATAGTAATAGATGGTATTGAATAGCTAAATGTCAAAATACTGGCCTTGTTTGTTCATTTGTTCATAATCGCTTTAAAGACCAAAAAGTGTCAGAAATTACTTTTTGAACTAGCGGTTTAAGAGGAGGGACCGGGGTACAGTTATACAAGTAAGAGATCGGGTTGGAGGTGGTAAAGGAGAAATAGAGAAACAAAAGTGGGTTTGGGGAGGTTAAGAAGCGAAGTGGGCAGGATTGGAGGGTGAGGAAAGGTTGGGAGTCAGACTTTTGAGTTTCTTTGGGTAAGATTTTGCAGACAATAGTGTGTTATTCAGGGATCTGAAATGTTCCTGAATTGGTTGAATTGTATTGGAATCCCTGTTGATGTCAAAGACAATTTCATAAGTAGTCCTTGTTTTTTTTGGATAACTTTAAAACATCCTAATCTTTTATACAAACCAGACCAGACCGTCTCTTTTATAGGATTGGGCAAAATATCTAAAGTCCATCGATATGATAGGAAAACGTGGGATAACTGGGGCATGGAGCACAAGTGACATCACTTGTTACTAGTGATTTGATTGGCTAAATATGTACAGTGGCAGTTTGTGAATGGATGACAGATCCATTGCATTTCTGAATAAAATTAGGTTGCACATTTTTGTCAGTTAAGTTTAATACTTAGTAATTTCTCAGGTACGATATTAAAAAGAAAGTCGCACCCACTGACAAAAGCGTTCGCAAAATAACATTATTTTATGAGTTCAGAACCATTTTTTTTTTTTGGCCAAAGAGTTTTGATAACAGCAATATCTAACATAATTGCTTTTGATTAAGTATTACAATACGATGTGATTATTAGAAAATTCATTTCACACAACAGTGAAAATGAGGCTGTTTAAAGATGGCAAGTCAATTATCACAAACTAGCGTAATCTCTGATCCCTAGAATTAATCTGAGCTCTAAATAATTACTGAGCTGTAATCAGCCGCTGAAATGTTTTGCATTTTTCTTTGATCCCGCTTTGTGAATGACTGATAAATTAATATTTCTACCAGGAAACAGAAATAAAAACTCAAAACAATTAGATAATTCCATTTTGAATGTTGTCATTGAACTGTTAAATAGAGGTATTAATCTCAGATCGTCTTGTGAAGTCTGGTTTATTTATTTTGCACCAAATGATGCATTGGCGGTGCCTGCAGATGCGCATTTACAGTTCGTAAAAAAATAATTACGCTTTAGGATCTGGGATTGTGCTTTTAAATTTTATTCACCGTTTGTTGCATTATCCTCAAATTATACACAACTCTATTTTAATATACATTTTCTTTGATTTCCATGTCATAGATGAGTGTGTGGGGATATTCCAATTTAATCTACACCTGTTTATACTGCTTTTGAAGCAGGCCTTTGCTACAGTATTAGTTAAGTTATTGCTCTACTAAGTAATTGAACTAGATGCAAATTTGCAGGTGTATCTGGTCCATACCATTCTTGGCGAAAGGGGGATGGATGTCGTTCCTTGATCTTTAATTTACCTTGATCATGCTGGGAGTTATGTGTTTACTACATTGGCAAACTCCATTTAAAAGGGAACTTTAATTTAAAAAAAAACTTAAGCAATTTGATTGCAGGGTAAACATTTTTAATTTTAATCTAATATCTTAATCTTAATATGTAATTGCTTTGGCGATAATTTCCCATTTTCAAGTGTCAAAAGATCTTCCTCTTAGTTAGTAGGGAAATTTTCTGACACAGGCTTCAGTAGAGGAAGACCATACTGAACAATGTATATTTCCTAATCCCATTGCACCTAAAATTCCTGATTGTAATTTTCCAGGTAGGTGCTCTTTAATTAAACCCCTCGGGTACTGATGTGGTCCAAAAATGACATGGCTCAATTCAATTCAGGTATACAGTAGGGCTGAGGTCAGGGCTCTGTGCAGGTCACTCGAGTTTCTCCACACTAAGCTCATGAAACCATATCCTAATGAATCTGGCTTTATGTTGAATGTTACAGTTGGTGTTCTGGTTGTGTAAAGTGGCGCCATCGGTCCTTTTACCAATGCACATTTCCTGTCATTAATAAACATAAAAGTGTTCATGCTCAATAAAGGTTTTGAAGACTGTATTTCAGAACTTTTTGAAAGAAGCAATCCTGTATTTGCACTTTAATTCAACAGTTCACAGATGAGTAGTACTAAGCTGAAAAATCAATGTACTCAATGATACTCAAAACTCCTGTATAGGTAAAAATGTTAAAACTGGAATATCCTTCTTATTATAACGTGTCATTATTGTTCACGTAGGGAATTCTTGAATCCCCTGAAAAGCAACTAACACTAAATGAAATCTACAATTGGTTCACACGAATGTTTGCCTACTTCCGGCGCAATGCAGCAACGTGGAAGGTACAACTTATTTATTGTTTTTATAACAAATATAATATAAATGTAAAACCATAGACAGATGTTTGATATAGTTAGAAGATCTAGGCTCCATTTGTAGCTGATATTTAAAGCTTTTCTAAAACCAAAACTTTTTTTTTAGCATAGAGAAGAAAAGGGTTAAAACCCCTGACAAGTTATCTATTTTTATTCCTGTTAGAAAGATTCACCCTATTTGGCCTAGTGACCACTGTCATCAGAACTGAAAGTAATAGGAAAATCACAAAGTTTGAGTTATCACTAGACATGTGCACAACAAAAATATTGGTTTCCAGATGAAACAAATGAAAACGAAAAACGATGTCATTCCTTTCATCAAAGGAAACAAATTTTTTTGCCTCCGAATCCGAAACCACACACTGAAACCGTATTCGAGCGCCGCCATCTTGTTGTATACCAAGATCTGCTCCAAAATGGTGGCCCACATGCGCAGAACGCGCCAGTGGTCGCCCTGGCCTACGCTCGTTCCACGTGTGATGGCACAGTCATGTGACGTCATACACTCCGCCTCCAAGATGGCGGCGGGCATGTCCTGAAAACTAATTTATGTATGCCTGAATATCATTTTAGTATATTCGGGCATATATTAAATTTGTAATTTCGGACGAACCGCCGCATCAAATGATTTTCGTTGATTTGCAGGTTTGTCCGAATCCGAATGCACATGTCTAGTTATCACTAGAACAGAAGTAGAGGGAAAATCTTCCAGTGGGGACACTTGTTCCGGTGTCATCCATCTAAGAAGTGACTTTCCTCACTTTAGTGAGATTTCTACTTACCTCCTGTTGTGTCTGTGGGACAGGAAGGGAATTAATATCTCCCCAATGGGACACAGATAACAAGAAATCTAATGACGGGGGTCCTAACATTTCCATAGTCTACGCTAAACTATAAAAATGGGCTGTACATACACTTTAAATCATTCATGTTTATTAATTGGCTAACTAAAAAGTAGTGGTGTCAGCAGACGTCTTTCTGAGGTCCCTGGTTACTGGTGGTTGGTCCATTATCTTAGACTTTGATTCACTTCACAAAATATAGCATGTTTATAGAAATAGTAAATTATTATTTTTATTAAAAGGTAAGATTAACAATGATGTTCATTTTCACCATTGAAATGTTGTAAAATATGACTTTTTAAGGAAACATATATGTGTGAAGGCTCACTGTGTTTTTTTAATTAGATATATCTAGTGTAAGTGGCCAAAAATTGCATTTTTATTTTTATCTTTATTATGTTTTTACACCCACTTCATCCCGCCAGCTTACTGGTCACTGAATTGATCTGTGCAGATCGATTGAGCTTAGGAAATGGTCATAAGGTCCGAACATTGTCCTGGCCACTAGTCAGAGAGCCAGAGAGAGATAGGTTTCCATCTATGTGTGTATAGAGAGAGCAGCCCAGTTAAAAGTATATGCAGATAAGGATATAGGAAGAAGATGTTGAACCCATGAGAGCATATTGAGCCTTCAGACAACATGAAGCCAGTTATCCCATTATTAATATTGTTTCCAAATTTGAATTGTCAATCTTTATGAAAGAAGTAGTGTGCTGTACAATGTTGACTACTGACAAACCCAGAAAAGTGGACTTAAAGCTAAACTTAAACCACTGATTAAATCAAAATTAAACTTTTTTTGGGATTGAATGCTTAGAACCTCTTTTTTTAATGATTTTTGACCACACATTGACCTCACATGGTGACCACAGAGGACAAAAGTTTAACGCTTGCAATGGCAACACCGGCAGCAATAAAATCCTGACAGAGGTTCTGTCCCATTCCTATTCTATCCAAAACTATTTAAAATGTTTTTGCACTTAAAGGTTATGTGCCAGCTTTCATGGCATGTTGTTCTTTCAGTTTTTGATCCATTTGCTCTGCTTTTCCTTTTAGAAGGAAGAAGGAGATCACAAGACAATATAGGTCTTTATTTTCAAATTCCTTTTTGTCCATGGAAACTCCCAAAGCATGGTTTCTTAGTATATAGTATTTTCCAGTTTGAGTCTAGTGGTTTGCATTTTTTACATCACCACCAGTGGAAAGCAAATAAAAAAAAAAAAAAAAAGCAAAGTCTGTTTTTATTCTGTGTTCATTCAGTTTTTAACTCTTCTTTTCTAGTTGATGGGCAATGGCCAGGGTAAATGCTGCTATAAAAAGAAATTGAGTGAAGACTGAATGAAAAACCATGAGCACTGGATAAACTGATAAAATAAGGATTAAAACTGCAAGGAAAATGTGTGATCCCTTAGTCTTTAGGTTTTATAATAGGCATACAGATGTCTATATGCTAAAGCCATAACTTTTTTTTTTTCAATAAACCGGTCACGTGGTCACACATTTTAACGTAATCACGCCCATTTTTCCCGGGGTTAAAATATGTGATTGGTAAAAGGTGTAGAATTCAAAGCTTTCTCAGCTATTCCAGGGCAGATCGGCATCGCAGATGTACAGGAGAGCCGATCTGCCCTGGAACAGCTGAGAAGGCTTTGAATTCTACACCTTTTGCCGGTCACATATTTAAACCCTGGAAAAAAGGGCGTGATTACGTTAAAATGTGTTATACAAACTTTGATAAAACACCGGTGATAATAGTCATTAGGATGTTGAGAGGGTAAGTATTTCCCACTTGACAGGGTTGCCAACCCTTTCCTAAAATAAAATGTTATGTTTTCGTTTTTTCACATACATCTTTTTGTTTCCCAACAAAAAATACAAAAAGATTCCAAGAAACATAAGAGACACTTAAGATGAAAATATAAAGAAGACCTACAATACAATACAATATGGTGTCAGTTGTTGAAGCCTAATAGCATATATGATTAATTAAAATGAAACCAGCCTGCTAATTTTTCTTTCTTTAATGCTAAAAATGATGTGTAGATGGTTATTGCTGCCGATAATCAGCGCTCACCTTTGAATGTTTTTTCTCCTGTCCCTGCTGCAGAATGCAGTGCGTCATAATCTTAGTCTACACAAGTGTTTTGTGCGAGTAGAAAACGTAAAAGGGGCAGTATGGACAGTGGATGAAATAGAATTCCAAAAAAGGAGGCCACAAAAGATCAGTGGGTACGTCCACCATCCTTTGAACTTCTTAGTGTAGTGTGTTATTGTACATGTGGTGATGGAGTAGTGGAGGTGTGCTCAGAGGAAAGCACAAGACATCATCCCCTGCCATTTTGTATGCCCACTGTACCCCTGTCCCGCTTGCCTTGGTGTATGCTGCATCACTTGCCTGGTGCTTTTTAAAGGAACCTGTCACTTGTGCCAATTGCTGACAACTATTTTTTGAGGCCTAACCAATATTTAGCCTATACAAATCTGGCAACATTTTCCAATGAATATTGGTGTAGACCACAAAAGGGCTGTCACTTTTCACATAGGGCAAGTTCTGTTAAAGTACCCATACCTGTTAACCCTCACCAACCATTTGCTTATGCATTGTTATGTTCTTTTTCCTTTCCCTTCATTGTTTGTGCTGCTTCCCCCACTTTTTCTTGCTTTCATTCCCTCCCTGACATCCTTTTGTATGCCTTTTCCCCGTCCCTTTTTTGCTTTCCGCTTTCCCATTTCTTTTTTTCAAAAATCACTTCATCCTTGTTGCTGCTGCTTTGGTCCCAGGGTGCCATTCGCACCAATCTGTCTCTCCATAAGTGCTTTGTCAGAGTAGAGGATGATTATGGGTCCGTTTGGACTGTTGATGATGAAGAGTTTAAACGTGGCCGTCATATTCAGAGAGGCCGTCCTCGAAAATACTGCCCTGATGAACACTTTGACGAACTTAATGCACAGTAAGAGCTTTAACTTGCTTGATTTGCTTTTTTTATGTGTTGCCACCTATCCTCTTTCAAAGTTACTTCTCTTTGCATGTTTCATTTGCCAACATTCCATGCAGCAACTCTCTAACATCTACTGAAGTTTGTGCTATTCCTCCAAGAATATGTTTGTTTGTTTTTACCTATATTATTGGTTATGTGTTCTTGTCCTGCCTATAGTGGAGGTAGACATTCTGGTTGACCCAGTGTTCATGCAAATCCAACCTATTACTTCTTCAGGTGTAAGTTTGTGGATTTAGCCCATTTGTGGCTTAAAAGTGTTGCTGGTTTCTAGGAAATGTTGATGTTCTAATTAGGAGTTCAGTCTACAAAATGGCTTCCTCCACCATATGCAGAAATGACCTTCAGAAAAAATGCCAAATGTGTTTACTATGGGCAGTACTTTTGAGTTATGTGACAAATGCTAATTGCTATACATAAAAAATGTGGTGTATATGACTATCTTAAGTCAAATGTTAGAATAAGTAACTATTAACCTTATCCAACAGCAGGCACGTTGGGAATAGTATTAGTAATGTATGCCTGTTTTGATTTATCTTCGTGTATTTCTTACTTTTGTTATTTCTTATTTGTGGCATGACTCAAAAGGGTCCGCCTGAAATTGTTTTCCAAAGTTAAAACCCAACTGTAACCAAAACAAATTTTCATTTTACCTGGTTGCTGAAAATTGACTCACATCCTAATTTATTAGATTACCTGGGAGCTCCATCAGAAATATGTCCACTCCACATGACCTCATTCTGCCTATCTGTTGCAACTACTTCATAGCCAGAACAAGGTTTCATATGCCTCTGGTGGGTTCTCGGTTATGCAGAATAAACAATTAATTAGAGAAGGAAGCTGCATAAGAGTGGCACCTGGCCTTGCCTTGAAGGAGAGGCTGGTTACAAACTACTGCAGAGAAATCTTACCATTGGAGTCTCTGAATGATGTAAGACGTTGAAACATAATTCAACAATTCAGTACCCGTTGGAAATGTCAGTGTTGGGAGAGTTGGGCTTTAAAGCAAGATTAATGCACCTGTAATCCTTCCAAACCCAGGAAATAATAATTCTGCTTTTATATTGTTTTCACAATGCCTTTATTTCAAAAACATACATTTATGGCTTATGCATTTTCAGTATACACTAACTATTTTATATATTGTATTGGATATTTAGTGCACCTGTGCCCAGACTGTGGACAATACAGTTTTTACATATTCTTAATAAGCAACAAAAGAACTCTAAAACTAGCCAGCGCTGGCCTCTCTATCAGCCTTCAACATGGAGTAATTCAAGCTAAAAGTTCACAAAAATGACTCTAAAGTCAGGCTTCAGTCTTTCTAACAGATTAGGAACATCTGCTGTTTACATTAGAAGTAATAGAAAAAAAGATTTATCTGCCTTTGTTGTGAAATTTGAAGATTAATTTCTCCACAATGCCTGAAGGTACAGAGGTTTAATGAGGGCTTGTTTTTTAGTGCTTTGTGCAGAATACATAAATATTTAAGTGTGCATTGTCTGGGCACCAGGTCACTTTAACATTTGTTGAGCTTATATATATATATATATATAATCTCAATCACTATCTCTGTCATTACATTTGCAAATGCTTATCAACAATGGAATATCTGTTATTAGTACCATTTATACCCTGCCTAGGCCATCCTAATACACACCCAATATTCTTATATTTTGATAGAACAATGTCAGAACATCAGGGGCTTGAAAATGACAGATAAATCACCAAAACGTTGACAGCTAGAGATTATAATTCCACCATACACACAAAAGAAAGCTTCAAAACCCCTCCTATATTTGGTTTCATAAGGGAGACAAAAGGATACACCACATTTCATGCTTGCTTCTGTTTTATTTTTAAATGTCTGTTTGAGAGGCCAGTGTTGATAAAATTCTAAGCTGTTGCTTGGAGAACTTTGAATGAAGTGCAGGCTGTTGCTTGACTTTCACCTCTTTACTTCAGAAAAAAAAAGCCAATGTTAGCACTGCTAACTTAGCAGAAGCATGCAACGTTTAGATGAACCAAAGGCCATCATTCTACAATCCATGTAAACCAATCTCCACTGGAAAGACAGTTACAAAAGAGTGAACAAAGTAGTCCATGCATCAGGCTCTAAGAGGAATATTCCACCAGACATTGAATAACCCCTAAAAATATGCAAGCCACTGCCTTTAGATATTTTTATATTAATAAGTACTAGGGATGCACTGATACCGACTACCGAAAGTCCCATTAAGGAAGCCAGGCGGCGTGTAATGACTCGCCACTTGGCTTCCTGATTTGCTGGGAAGCTGAGCGGCGTGTAAAGACTCGCCACCCGGCTTCCCGATTAGCAGGGAAGCTGTCCCCATGCTTCTCGTCACTAGGTGATGAGAAAGCATGAAGTGGGCTTTCTGGCCAATCAGGAAGCCGGGCACTATGTAATGACGCGGCACCCAGCTTTCTGATTGGCCCGGGAAGCCGGCTCCATGCTCCCTTGTCATGAGGTGACAAGGGAGCATGAAGCTGGCTTCCCGGCCAATCAGAATGCCGGACGCCGCGTCATTGCACAGCACCCGGCTTCCTGATTGGCCAGCTTCCCAACCAATCAGGAAGCTGGGCAGCGAGTCATTACACGCTGCCTGGCTTCCTGATTGGCCTGGAAGCCGGCTCCATGCTCCCTCATCACTTGCTCTCGCTGCCTGACTTCCTGATACCGAAAATATCGGGCTAGACATGGGAGCATTTGGACGAGTGCGAGTACTCGTCCACATACTCGGCATCGGTACGGATACTAGTATCGGTATTGGTGCATCCCTAATAGGTACACATTTCATGTCTAAGTGGTGGATGTAAAATATTCTTGGCTAAGCCGATTCACTCTTTGGCAGTACTAGTTTAACAAGAGCATTTTTTAAATAATGTATAATAGCAGAGCAAATTATAATGAAGGTCTGTAATACCGTGGGAACAATACTTAAGGAATGAAAAGCCCCTTACACTTATAAATAGAACACACATAGCTAAAAGATACTCCACTCTTCATCAGTACTTTGAACGGGAAGTGCATTCTATTTTGGTGTCAATGTCCAAATTATTGGTCTCTGTGGCACAAAATAGGATATTAAATTATATTGTAAGTTTATTTTTTTGCATTGTTAAATAATGAGCACAATATTCCGGTTTATGCCTGCAGAGAGGATAGACACTAGTAGCTAACATTAAAATGCTTTTTACATAGCGTTATTGTTATTTGCAAAATAATTATACATGTGAGGAATCAATGCTGTAATTTCTATTACATCCCGCACATTCTGTATTGTGTTGAAGTTAAATGAGCCTGTACTGCATCTAAATGAACCTCCTTCCTGCAGGTGTAAAGCTTGTACATTTTACAGTATAATACTGTACTGCTTTTATGTATTTTTTTTTCCACTTAATTTTTTATGCTTAATAAAAAAAAAACGCTGAGCTATTTATTTTTTGTAAAAACATATACAAATATATATATATATATATTTTTTTTACATGCAGTAGTCCTTCGCTTATCAAAAACATTCAGACAAGTCACCCTTACTGCACACCTCTTAATGCTGCTTTGCAGGTAAGTTCTGCCATCCTCCCATTCTCGCCGTCATCGCATGTCTTTTCTGCTTATTGCAAAATATATTATCCTGGCTCTAATTAGATATTAAATTTTAATTCTGTTAAACTTTTTTTTTTCTTAAGTGCATAAAGCATCGCGGTCCCTGGAGGCAGGCACATATCAGTCTGCTTCAGCATTAGTTAGATGCTTAGCATTTTGAATATTGTGGCAAAAATTAAAAGTTCACTTATTAATATTTATCAGCAGTATCATAATTTCCATCCTCTTATTTCAGAATTTCACTTGAGGCAAAAATACCACAAGTGTAATTACTCGAGCAGAGCTATTAATGTGGGGAATGAAAGAATATCATGTCACATGACCTCCTATTGTTCCAGGGTCTAGAGGAAAAAAAAAGCAGGATTAAAAATAAAGAAAAAAAAACTGGTGCACATTTTCAAATACCTATTCCTGATGGATACATTCCTCTTTACCTAATCTGCAATTAGTTGTTCGTTCTAAGACCAGTTATTTTAAATTATTTAATATTTATCATTATTATTATACTGATATAGTAATAATATCACTTCTCACTAGAATTTATAGGATTAACCCTCTTTTATTTGCTATATGTTTATTAAATAACCCAAATGCATAATAAATATATTCTCTTTTTGATCCATTTTTAGTTTTAGAGGCATCATTGTTGCTTTATAATTTGTTTGGTTTGTTAAAAAAAAAAAACATGATAAAACATTAATTGCAAAATAAAGCAGGGAATGTTTTTTTTTTTCTTTCCTTCTCCCGTATTCTCTCTAATTATTAGAAGTCAAACAGTGACAACACTGAAAGGAAGGAATTGTAAATACTGTTCATTAGTTGCTTACTGTCCCCGGAGTCTTGTGAAATATGATTTTAAAGGCTGTTCTGTCTGTAGAATACTATTAAGATTACAAGCACAATTTACATTCATGAGGCTGAAAGGCAAAATGAAATGATCCTATATTCTATCAGATCCCTTCTTTAACGATGACTAATTCCAATTAGAAGGCTCAGCAGATTTAACATTGCTTGTTTTGGAAAAGAAATGCATGTTTATTTTTTATTTTTTTTGTATATATGTACGCCTCAAAGTTACATTATAGTTATTTTTCTTATTGGTGCCCATTCATTCGGATAACAAATTTGTCTTTGCCCTAGTTGCATGAATCATGGGAATTTTAGAATGCATGAAAATGCAACTTCAGTTTGTTTTTTTGTTTTTTATCTCCCATAGCGTTAATGGAAAGCTGCCATTAAGAATAATGTATCCCAAACAAAATTATTTCACACGCAATGTATAATGATGGAAAATAATATGAATGTAGCCCTATTGCAATATTTATATCATAAACATATTTATCAAGGGTCAAAGGTTAGCAAACATTGTCCAATACCGCCTTTCTCAACCAGGGTGCTGCCTGGGTTCATCACGGGTGCGTGTTAAAATTGATTAGTTGCTGTGGTTGGTGCATATTGTTATGCGAGTTCTGGCCGCCTGCGTCCTGGCAGCCAATTGCATCATCAGTTGCTAGGATGCAAGCAACCAGCCTGCATAGCTCTTGGTCCTCCCCCTGTGCTGGAGTGCCAACCCTAAATCCCCCCGAAGTCTCACCACTGCACTGACTTTTTCCCATCCTGTAAAACAGTTTTCTGGCCCTCCCTGCTGTGAATATATCTTAAATTAGAGCAAATATGTGCTTTCTTGAAGAGGCAAGGCATCATATCTCTCACACTGCACCTCTAATGTTAAGGAGGACTGAGGACTCTGATGTGAAGGGAGGTTTCTGATGTAAAGGAGGACCCCATTTTAGGCTATGGTGCCTCGAGATTTTGCATACTTTTAAAGGGTTTTGTTCCAGTCTTGTATAACATCTGAAAACTCTGTTTGTTCCTGTCTTTTGCAATAGGCTTCAATGGCTGAGAACAGTATACCTCTATACACTACGGCTTCCATGGGAAACCCTGTTCTGACCAGTTTAGCCAGTGCCATGCGGGAAGAACTCAATGGTGTGATCGAGCATGGCAACAGCAATGGCAGTGACAGCAGCCCGGGACGTTCCCCTATGCAAGGAATGTAAGTATCGGGGCTCGTGCAGTGCATTGTTGAACACTTATTTTATTAATTGTGATAACTTACATATGGACAGATTCAGTTGTATCACACTAGATCCAAAAGTGCCTACTTTATAACAATTTATAGTGGTCTAAGGAAGCAAAGGGTGAGAGAGCCCATTCAAATGCATTTGTAGGTTCTCTTGATAGCTTACCTGCTACTGATACTTATTTTCTTCATGCTCACCTGCTGCCCCATTCACATCTAGCAAACCCTGGGTAAGCCCAGTGTCAGTCTCTGTTGAAGCTTACAATCCCCCTGCCACCATGTGACAAAAAGTTGAGACCTAGCGATTGCCTTTTCAGACTATGACCATCGCATCAAGAATGTAAGGGTCATGCTCCTCCATTTTGGCAATACCAGTTATGTCAGTGTTCCAGCTGATGGATGGGGTGGCAGCCATTTCTGTTGGAACCTACACAAGGCTGAGGACCCTCCCCCTGCCACCACCTGACAAAGCTGGACCCTGACAATTGGCCGTTTAGACACTATCACAATGTGGAAAGAAGGGGACAAGGTCATGTTCCTCTATACACAAACGTACCAGTTATATTACGGTGCTCCAGCTGGTTGATGGAGTGGCAGTGGTCTCTGTTAGAACTTACACAGGGCTAAGGACCCTCCCCCTGCCTTTACATAACAAAGCTGGCATCTGGCGATTGACCATTCAGACCTTGATGATCACATCATGGATGGAGGAGGAGAAGGTTATGTTCCTCTATCAGAAATATAAATGATATCAAGTTATAATTGGTGGAGTTTGCTGTAGATGCTGATTAGATCTGAACAAGTGGCTTGGATAAGCTATGAAATGTCTTCAACATTCCAGAACCAATCCAGTTAAACGTGAATAACTGCTACTTGCTAAGTTATATCACGGTGATTGCTGGTGGTTGGAGTTTCGGTGGACCTCAGAAAGGTAAGTATCTACAATATAGGGTGCCGGCTTCAATGCAAACATGTTAAATGACCTCAACCAAAGTGACAAGTTTACTTGATGGAGATAAACCAAATTGTATAAATAAGGGAGAAGTCACAGTTCTTCATATATCATTTTTACCCAAATTGTTAAAAAGAAACAAATCCAAATTCATACAGAAACCTGGTGCGCACCTTGTTGAAATGATTTCAGCTTAAGTCAACCCATGAGAGATATTTACAAAGGCTTAAAAGCCTAACAAAATATTTTTGAATTTTTATGTGCCCTTAAACTGCCACAGCGCAAATGAAAATAACACACAAATACATCTTTAAAGTTACTGCATTCTGCAGGAAAGGGAGCTTGATTAATTGCAACGACAATTTGTTTTTCCTTAATGCCGCCGAGATACATTTGGTGTGAAACCGCCACGCTGCATTCTCTTTAAAAACTGCAGTAAACAGTTATGATGCGTCTACTTTTTGAGCATCCCAATAAATTAGACTCAATCAAGCTTTAAACGCTAACATTATCTCGGCATTTACCTTGTTAGCATGGAAACTGTAGAATCGCTCTAGAAATTACGCAGCCTTCTCTGGTCGTATGCATCTTTATGATGCTATAATGTTACGGCTCTTTTTATTCAAAGATCCAGCTTGCAGAATTTGTCCTAATGGGGGTTTGTAGGACTTTCATCCTTATAGCTTCCAGTGCTATCTACAGAGCAGTGTACTTCATGCTGTGTACACCATTGGAACCCAATTCCTTTTAACAGCTAAGAGGTTTGCTGCTCTTTTTCCAGAGTGGACAAATAAGAGGATTATTGAGATGTGCAAATCTTTCCTCAGCAAGGGTGTACCCTTCAAAACTGAAAAATTTGGTCTACCCTTTTTACAGGGCTTGCGGCAAACACATATGCCTCTGCTCAGGGGCAGGTGGCATTTGCTTCCTATAAAAGTGGGGACAACTTCAAAGTCCAGTTGAACCCCCTGAATTTAATTACTGTAATGCAGTCAAGCTGCATATAAAATGACACATTTGCTGCTCTTTTCTTTTTTTGTAAGTTGCCAAAGTTCTGCAGCAAGGGTAATATACGCTGTGCTGGCAGAACGTTGGTGAGTTGGACAACTGCTACCATACACAACACATCAGCCCAGGTCTTCAGCGGTTCTACATGTTCCCCCCTCCATACTGCTCCAGTCAACAGTGATGCTTGAAAAACAAGTGCTGTTGATTGGAACGGTGTGCAGGGGGAGTTTCAGACCTCGGGAGACCTGGTTTTCTGCTTATCCATGAGAGCAGAAGTCTTACTCTCGAAGATGCTGCCAGCGCAGGGTATTTTTACCATACCAATTTAAAAAAATAGCATATTTATTACTGTGTATGCAGCCTGACTGCATTACAGTAATACATACAGAGGCTTTAATTGGGCTTCGATGTAGGGCAACACACTATTGACTTCTGCCCTGATCGAAACTGGCTCAATAGGTTTTGTGACACGCTTAGTCATTGAATGAATCCTAGAAGCTGCGAACTGCATAAATGTCTTGGAGCTGGGAACGTATCTGTACATGTACAGTACTTGGTATCTGAACATCCCTAAACTTAAATCTAGGGATGTCCCGATGCCACTTTTTCAGGCCCAAGTACAAGTACATCCCCTCATGTACTTATCCAATTAATAAAAGCGGCAAGCCATTGATGGCAAGGCTGGGGAGGAAAATACTAGCCAATACTTGAAATCCTCTGATCTGATTTGCTGCAGCTTCTTATGCACACTCTGAGAAGCTCAATGTGCAGCAAAATCAAACAAAGCAATATCAGTCCAGCAGAGGAGCTGGTACAACCATGCAAAACTGATGGTAATACTGGATTTCAGCTTTAAATGCTTCAACAAAGCTTAACTAATTCTTTACAAAAGCTTGCTGTACACACTGCTTTCATACAAGCGGACATCAGTGTAGTTTCAGTGAACAACTCATATGGGTTCTGTATGTTGGTCTTCTGCCTGGAATCCAAATTTAAACAAAAAGTGGTCCCTTTGATTAGTTATTCTATATGTAGTGTTTGGTTCCATTTAGTGTATTAGTTCCTTGCATCTTTTGGAAGAGTTAACCTTAGCAAATGCATTTATGTGGGTGGGGGGGTGCAACCCAGTAAGCAAGGGGAATAGGAGTCTAATTCATTAAGGCTTCCTATTTTTAGGCATTGCCATGGAAAGTCAATTGTATCATGAGTGAACAGGAGCTTTTCTTTCTGCTTCTCATCTCTAATGTTAGATAATGTCAATAAAATGACACTTCCCTTCACTGTTTCAAAGGCCAGGCGGTGTTTACGCATTTGCAGTATTTTGCATGACAAAAGCCACTCAGCAGTGGAAAAGTAATTGCTGTTTGTAAAGTCAGGCCTGTAAATATGATTTACGCTTGGCGTTTCTTTCTTGTTATCATAGCTGTTATGTACGATCAGCCCTATTCCCCTGTGGGTTATTCATATGCTCTTCCATAATGGGGAATTTGGCAGTTCGCATCTCCCAAGTGCGTCCTTTTTTTGCCCACCATGAGCTGGGGATCATGTTTTCCCTTGTTTACAGCTGACAGTGTTATTATTCTCGTTAAGACTGGGCTCTCTTATCACATTGTTGTGTTGAGCGAGGCGCTTTTTTTTTTCCCTTTCTCCCCTTCTCCGTTTGTGTTTCCTGGCAGAGCTTTTCTTCCTTTATTGACAGTTTGTAAAAATATGCATTAATTTGAAGTTTAAAGCATGTATCATGGTGTCTCCTTGTAGTGTTGTGCTTGAAGTTGATTAATGATAGAACCTCACTTGGGGTCATCCTCTAGAGAGTTGGCTCACAGGTTCTGCATGTTAACTAGAGAAGCAGAACACACATTAAGCAATGATTACCCCCAGCCTCTGCAAATGACTCGGTGGCCCGATAATTCCCACTTTTACTTTATGAAGTCTTGTTTAATTTGTCTGCCAAATGTTTGGTTGTGTCATAAATAACATTAATGAGTCTTTTATATTAATGACAATGATTAAATATGAATTATTCTTACTATATCAATGCTACCTGGTAATATGGTGAAAACAAAATTCTCAAATATAAATGTTGTCCTACGGGATCGTAATTGTTAAATATATTACAGTAGGCTAGCCGATCCATATGTATGCAAGTATATTAAGTATACTTTGTGAAGAAAATATATAGTAGTGTTTGTTGTAAATGTTTATGATAATTAATTTGGAAAAATTAAAAGGAACCTTTCGGAACAGAAACAGCCACTGATGATTAGTTTGTGCAGGTGCATGTTCTGGGGCTGATATGCTTATCCTTGCCTTACTAATTGATGAGCCATTGATCTGGAAGAAGCATGTGTATATCAATTGATGTGACACCTGAAATGTTTGGTATGACCATGTCAGTTTGGTGACGTACCAAGTAGTGAGGCAAAGGTATGAAGTCCTGGAGCATACACCAAATGTGGCTCCCATATTTTATTATAACAGGTGTTCTTTAATAAATATAGATGATTTATATTTATTTGAGACACTTTGTTAAACCATACGCACCAGGGGTGCATTGGGGACAACTGCTGCAAACCCCAAGAGATGGGGAGACTCGATCACAAATGCTATTGTGTTTTACTTACCAGTTGTGTGCTGACATTATGTACAACATAAAGCATCTTTTGCCATCTTATTCTTTTTTTCCCCTGATGTCTATCTGCTGTTCAAGGTTCTAGTAAATTTGTCAGAATTGACAAAGATCTAGTTGTACCCAACTTCATTATATGCTAGCATTTCCCAGTTTAAACCAGACAGACATTTATGATTGTCATATGAAAGGACCTAAGGTTAAAGTTTGGTCCAGGACTAACTTTTAGTTACATCTTTCTGCAAATTTTAACCAAGCTATATCTATTTTCGCAATCCTTGGCCATAGTGGTGGCCCAGAATTCAGAGTTGATCCATCAGCGAAAGTGCAATATGTGTAAAATGGATCTAAACCCAAAGATTAAAATATATAAGATTTAATATATCAATGGAATGTCAAATCTTGTTTTTTTTATTGTTTTAAATCTGCGGCTTTCAACAAAAAAAATACCTGGTCCGTTGTGATGGCATTAATCATGGTCCTTGTTCAGGCATTTCCTGTAACAACTGTCTCCCAACTGTGCTCCTGTGATGTTACCCTGTCACATGCTCCCCCGGTTGAGACTTACTTTGTGCAGACATGTTATCACGATCAGTAAACCAGTCCAGAACAATGACTTGTGGCCAACACTTGAGCAAGACAGGAAGTGGCTGGAAAAGATCAACAACACTTTGCTTTAGCAAACTAAATGTCATCCTGTCAGGTTTAGTTCTACTTACATAAAATATATTTTAAAAAGTACATCTATCCATATTAACGTGTGATACTGTAAACATATTGTGAGCTATATACATATATCCTTTCTTGTCTTGTGTATAGGCACCACGTACATGTTAAAGAAGAACCACTGGATCCCGACGAGCATGAAGGGCCACTATCGCTAGTAACAACAGCCAACCACAGTCCTGACTTTGACCATGACAGAGATTATGAAGATGAACCAGTAAATGAGGACATGGAGTAAAAAAAAAAAAAAACCCATGCATTATTTCACAATCCTGAGAATGAAGACAGTTCAAGGCTTAGGTTACATCTCCGTTATTGTACAGTCTGGAGAGTTCCCAGCCTAATCTGAAACCTTTGACATGTGTTAACTCTTAGTGCCATCAAGTTTCCCATTTGGGAGTATTTTTGATTTTTCTACTTTTTTGTTGAAGAAAAAAAAAAAGGAATTTGTACTCTGTGCATTGGATCGACTTGTTTGGTACTTGCAACTTCCTCTCTCACAGTCAACATCAGTGTTGTAAAATTTGCTAAACCAATTTCACTTCTTCACATACAGCAGACTCTTTGGACTGTTGTTCTGCCAAAAGGGACACTGAGGACATCGATATAAGCATGTGCGTCTAATCTGCAGGTCATCCCCTTTGCCCAGATTTTAAGGATTCCAATGGACAATGTATTTGCACAGTACTGCATGTAGTTCTGATTATCACTGCCTTTAAATCAATTCTTTTGCTTCCATATGGGACGGGAGGGGTGACCTTTTTATATATGTATGGGACAGAGGGAGAGGCATAGTAATTATCCCAAACTTCTTAACGTATTGCTTTTATTTTTATTGTACTACACCAATTTAAGTTCTGACCTCAGGCCTCTGCTTCAGGCCCAAGACCTCTTGGAGGCATAATGTTTTCTGTACTTTGTGATGAATGTTAATAGTTGTTTTTATTATATGATGCCGAATGTCTTTCAACTGTTCAAACATTTTCTGTCATGCATTGTAGTTTGCTTAAGTTGCAATCACATTTCTTTCAGACACTCAAAAAAAAAAAAAAAACAGCAAAAGCAAACAATAAATATATAATCATTCCATCATAACATTTCCCAAAACAAAAACTGCCCTTATAGATGGAAAGGAAGATCTGGTAGAATTCTGTAACAATGAAGGTCATAGCAAATGCCACAAAGTGGCAAAAAGTTCATTCCTAGATAGCAGTATTTACTAGCACTGTTAGTAAAAGCAAACCCAACTGGTCAAAACGATTGACAACAACACAAGGCATTATGCAGCTCGCAACTTTCTCCTTTAATGGGTACTAAAGGTCTGGGAGAATACTGTGCGTCCAGTACCGAAACACGCTTGTAAATTTAAGAAAGAACTGACACTGATAGACAAGTAAAGGGTGTAGATATCTCCTCTGCTTCTAGGATTCTCTGTGCATGGTTACAAGTCCCTGGTAGGGAATAGTAGTTGAAGAGCACTGTCCATGTTCTGTAAAAAAAAAAAAAAAACCACAGCCATGGATCTACATATGTTTACATATTTAATATACAGTATATGTATGTAGATAAAAGGCAAATAGGAGAAAATATGCTAATTTGATGTACCTAGAAATCAGAAAGCAAGGGGCTTCCATAGCAAGGTTCGGTGTTCTCTGTTTAGACATGTTTACTACATCATTTGAAATCAGCCAATGGCAACATGAGATTATCTAAGTGCAGTAGCTGTAGCCCTGGTCAACACAAAATTCCATTTCCTAAGCCTCTGTGGTCGATTTCTTAAAGGCATAGAGCATGTTCACTTTCCAGAAACTTTTAATTACCTTAGCGAATGTGGTAAAAATCCATAAGTATACCCAAACACCTGGAAGGAAACTTAAAAAAATGGATTTTAACTTGTATGTGATTGGATAAATCGAAGTCAGCACAGTTTTACCCCATTCACTAAAGCAAAGTGAATGCGCTTTGCTCCTTAGTAAAACAGCCACCTTGTTTTTAAATATAGCATTTTGTATATAGAAGGATAATAGATCAGGGCGGAGCTTAGGCAGAATTGTGAAGACCTGAACTAGGGACCTGTACAAAACAAAAACAAAATATTGGGTGGCAAAAAAAAAAATCAGGTGTGTGTTTCAAATCCGGATATGCGTAACGTAGTACCAAGTTGAAAGTTAACAAAATGTCTGGGCAATCTTGGAAGCAATTTTTTTTTGTAAGAACATAATCTTTTAGATGACTGATATTAGTTCTTGTCCTTGAAATGTTAAAACCAGAATTTCAATGGCAAAACTTAAAGTTTTTAACCTGAAAAAGTGAGAACAATGTCTGAATACCTCGTCTTGGTACCTCCCAAGGCTGTTTAGTTATAAACACAAGCAACAACTGCTTTAAAGTGGTGGGTGGTCTATATTAAGCAACCAACTTGTGTTTTAAAGTGTTTAATATAAAGACATAAAAGGTTGGCATAGCTTTAATATAACTTTGCACCGAGAACACTTGGCTTGTCCACAGGTAGATTTGGCAAGGACCCCTTAAACTATCAACCTGACTGGATAGCATGTGTGCACAGAACATAAAAGTTGGGGAACAAAATTGAGATGCATGCCTTTTGCACTGTTCAGGCATGTCATAAATTACCCCGTAGATCTTTAAGCTTCATCATCAAATTATGGGGTGACATCTGGGCAGGGACATTAAGACACAGTTATTCTATCCTTTCCCTGTCCTGTTTTTTAATGTTACAGCTGCATAAAAAGAAAGTGATTAGAATTAGTTTTTTTTCTGTTGAACATTAATGGTGCCACCATTAGGTGATACTTCAAGCCATAGCTGCACAGGTATCTTTTTGCAACTCTGTTGAGGAAAGTGTGATTCAACTGTGAAGAGTTTTCATAGGACTGCCCTTATAAATGACACCATGCTCTAGTCTTTCACCATTGTCTTGCAGCCCTGATAGATTTTTTTTTTTCTTTTAACCACTTTTTCAGTAGATTATTTTTATGTTCCAAGATTTAAATCTCTTTGATGCTGGAAGTACTTGCAGTTGTTTTAGAGAAACCAATTAGGGGCTTCTTTGATAACATGTAGTGTCTTGCATTAAAGTGTCCTAGGGAAAATGTTTCAACCCTGTAAGCATGAAAAGGGGGAACCTGGTTGTTCCTGGTAACAAGGTTTTGTTTTTCCTTCAGACACTTTCATGCATGAGGTGCTTGTTGGTAAAAACCATAAATTAAAAAAAATGGCATTCAACAGCCAAGCAGAGATCTGATTGGTAGGTAGGATTCCTAAAAATGATGCATGATTTCATTGTTCATATTTCAGCAATGGTAAATTGATTAATTTTACAGTTGCCCTTACAGTTCACAAGAGCCCTACAACTACCAAAGATTTTACATAAAAGTAAATTATGTTGTTTGTGTTATGCTTTACCTGTATTTTAGACAAGCCAAATATCCTCTTGTTGTTGATCAAAGGAGACAAGTGAATCTAGAGGGGGATATTGATCATGTTTATGATTATTTAATAGGATTCTGCTCCCATTTGTTCGTTCCAAAACCACCTATTTTCAAACCAAAGTATTTTTTTTTCTTTAGTTTTTAAATTAGTTTTTTTTTTCCCAGTGTGACCAAACCATTTATAACTAATAATTGATTGTTTGGAACAGTATTACTATGTTTTGAAAAGTTGCAGTTTCATCCATATATATTTCCAGTTTTAAAGCCCTACTGAGCTTTCAGTTTAAATCAGCCTAATACATTCTATGTACATCAAAACCAAAAGTGTGCAAAAGTCATTTTCATTAAAAAATAAACAAACAAACAACCATGGCCTGAGTAGAAAAGCCTGCCCCCTGCCAGCATGATTTAGAGAAAGACACTTGCTTCCTATGCGGAAACAACCATCTCTTTGCAGAGGTCTGTAAAGATCAGCAAATCTCATGCTTGATACTGATTGGAGAGCTCTAACTGTAACTAAGAAGGGGGTGTGGACCTCTTGAAAAAAGACCACACAGAGATCAAGGGTCCGTGTCTGCATTATGCTGACAGGAGACAGGCTTTGCTACTCAGGCTGTGGATGCTTTCTATAGAAAACAAATTGTAGACTTTGCACATTTTGTTTTGATGCATCTGGAATGTATTCAGCCGATTTAAACTGAAAGCTCAAGTAGGCTTTAAGCCCATAAAATTATGGAATCTGACCATTGACAATGTTAGCAGCATTAACCATATGACTTTTGTAATAGGCTTTCCAAAACCCTTAGAAAATACTACACGTATTGCTCAACTGACAACTTTTGTTTTTCCAAAGGATATACAGATACAAGATTATTTATGGTGGTAGCGGTTTCAATACCAGAAAGATGTTGTAACCCCTAGCAACCAACTAGACTTTAGCTTTGATTGGTTTAACACAAATTCAATCAATAAATGCTTATGTGTTGTTTTGTCAGCTCAAGTGGCTTTGTGCAGTTCAAACCCTCTTTTTTAAAATGGTATTTAATAATAAATGCATGTTTGTTTTCCTTTTTATTTTCTTTGATGTATATAAGCTATTTAAAAAGAAAAAATTAAAGCAAGCAAAATCCCCAAAGCACTTTTCCGGAGATACCAAAACATGATTTGATGCAAAATCCAAATTCCATCAGCAACAAAGCAGTTCTATAAATAGATACAATAAAGAAATAGCTATTTAAAAAAAAAACACCTCATAACCTTAAAAAGGATTATGTATTATTTTAAGGTTTGATACCACGGCGGATTTCAATATTTGGATTTATCAGCATATACGTAGAAGCAAATGTCTTTAAGAACCCCCTTCATCCCACTATGCCTCCCCCCCAAAAAAAAAAAACATTTTCAGTTACCTTTGAGTTATTTTTAGCTCCATCTAGTCCGTGTATGAAGGGCATACATATATTACCTTTTTTTTTAACATATATATACTTGCTTTTAACTTTCTTTTACAATCGAGGCTTGGTTTCAGAGAGAGAAGCTAAGATTGTACTAAAACGTAGCCCAGTATTCTTTAAAAACAGCTGGTTCGCTAGGTTAGCTCCAAACTCAGAAGAGGGATAGAGAGTTGGTGGACTTTTTCATACTTGGCATGAGTAGCTGGGCGTAAAAATAACTCGGCATGAGTAACAGTAAGCATACCTCAGTTCAGCCCTTTATGGAATGATTAAAACACAGCTACATTTCACTAAGTTGCACTTAAATGTATGTCTTGCATGCTTACTTTACAACAATGTATAAA